CCTTACCATGAAAACATTTTACAGATTCTTCAAGATGAATCTGTGATAGTTGCATTGGTTTGGTTGGAGTGACTATGCGATTTTGGTCAACAAGATCTGAGTTACCTCGCCTCAGACGACCAACTCGCGTGATTATGAGTTTGGGAGAACCATGGAAGCTTCCAGTCCAGGTTATCAATGAAATCTTTTCGAGTTGATCAATGGCTTCAATGAAACCAACAAAACCAACAAAAACGGTCAACGAAGTATCATTGAAGTACAATATCCCTGGTTTTGTAACCTTCGCTGTTCACAAAATTCTGACATATTTATATGGCTTCCTTCTGGAGGAAATCTGTATGATGAATTGCCTTCGTTTCCTGTTGGGGACTGTTTCCAAGATCAATGTTAAAAAGGTTCATTAGACTACGTAAGGTTCAACCTTTCGGTGCGAAATGTTTGATGCAACAAGATTTAGTAGAGTCTTCTGTTTCATCTTATTATACACTTCTCTACTTCTTCCAGATTCTATAGCAAACGGGACATACAAAATCGGGTTCGTTAGATTTGAATCTCCTCATCAATGCCACAAACCTTCAATGAACTCGTCACGGACACACGACGAGTCAAGTCAAGCAATTGCCTCATTTCACACGCGTGTGCAGGTGAAAAGTTTGCGACCATTAGATGTACTGTGTACGGATTTAACTCAGTGCTGCAAAGAACTCACCGAAACTACATTCCGGATCCCTCCACAATGGAAGATATGGGAATATGATTAAGTTGTATGCTTTTGTACGCGCTTGAAGTTGTTTATACTTCGAGCGAGTAGGAGAGATTACGACATATTTAACAGTGCTGGGATGAGAGTGTGACAGTCAATATCTCATGATCAAACTTATCCCAATAAAGAATGTTTTGGGAGACAGTATGACGAATGCCGTGAGTAAACCGAAAGATATGAACCAATTTCTGAGTGATATGGATATTGACGAGACAAGTTTTTCGTAATAAAGCGAGAAAAATCACTGGGAAGGTGGATATCCAGTTTGGTGAATTGCAAGCATATACGAATTGTTTTTATAAATTTTTAGGTTGTGGATTAGAGTTTGAGACAGACGGCATAAAAGAAGACTCTTTAGTTCACATTGTATTGCTTGGTAGGTTGAACTCTTATGTTTACAGTAGGAAACATTCAATATCCTCAGTGGGATTCGAACCCCTTTGACGTTTTGTGGAAGTCCCTATTGATATGCTCATATCCGATAAGAGAACGGTTCAGAATAACACCAGTGTTTTAATCGATGTTCCCGATTGAGAGGTTTGTCGTCAACCAATAGCGACTGGCCCGTCTCAACAGGGTCGGAGTATGATTTGCCGCTACGGAGAGAAACTAGAACACCAACACATTTAGATGGATTCGTAAAAGGTTTGTGCGCGGGAAACCGCCAGTAAAGTGGTGAGATAACTAGCATATTGTCAAGGCGGACAGCTTTATTGATATATGGTGAGCCCAAATAGCCTCATCTGCATATTTGATCAGCGGCGCACCATTCGAAACAGGCATAGAGGGTTGAGTAGTTTTTTGTTTTGCTTTACTTCCCTTTGTTGAATATGTATTGGTACAATTTTCGAGAAGCGGGAAGCAGTCACTAAAGGAGTTACCTTGCAACAAGTAAAGATACAAAGTGGCTCCCTGAAGAACCCCTGATTCGGAATTCAGGCTAAGGAGGTTTGATCACGTTAGCGTGTAAACTGTTATCGACAAGAAAAGTAACCTTTTAGGAGGGTTTTAATAATAGATCTTAAAGAATACAAAGAGGCTTATCTCTGTCAACCATTCCAAAGGCATAACTGATAGGGGCCAGAATTAAATACTCAAACGTAAACGAATTACGCATGAAATCTCTCTATGTCAGTCCCTACTGCTGAAACTATTTATTACCTATATTACTTATGGCCACAAGAAAAGCGATAATTGTGAAATCGGCGACCAGTTGCTGATCTGAAGCGATTATCATACCTGTGCACACACAACATACAATTTAAATTTAACGACGAAGTTTATCGTCAAATAGCTGGGGTAGTAATAGGGTCTCCCATGGGTCTACGTTTCGCAGATGTCTTCA